TTGGTGTTGATCATTTTTGTAGGTACCTCGATCATCGCAGCATGTGTCACTGTCATCGTTATCCTTGTTGTGGTCATCGTGGTCTTACTCGTCTACATTTGGAAAAGAAAAGGTAAAAATGGAAACTTAACAAAACCTTCATTACAACATCAATTCTATTCATTTTTTTATGACCAAAATTATCATAATTATTTATTAATTTTTTCATATTCTAGAAAAGTCAGCAAGGAAAAGGTATTTTTGGTGTTGTATTTTGTCTGTCGTTCTTCCAGATTGTCTGTCGCTGGGTTTTTATTCTTTATTCGCTTACTCGTTTGTTTATTCGTTTGCTAGCATCCAACAGACTATAGTTCTTAAGTGATTACTTTTTTTTGCTTTTTTTCTCGCTGTAGAAGTTTGTCAGGTATTAAAGGGGAGGACCTTGGAGCTTACGAGGTAAATATACTGTCAAATGCCAATGTATAACGTAACTGTCGCAAGTGCTCTTTCATCAAAACAAAATGTTACAATTAATTYGTCAAACAATACAACATGCTGTTCCTTTACATCTGCTATTATTTAATAGATAATTACTGAGGTACGCAGCATTCGTAGGTATAATGCAGGCAGCTGAGGGAGTAGCCCGAAGCTGCCTGCATTATACCTACGAATGCTGCGTGCCGAAGTGATTATCTAGTATAATTATTGTTCTTATCAAAATCCAATTGTTTTCTTTCTAGCTTGTTTATCATAGAAACAAAGCCAATAATGAACTAAATATGTCTGATTTTCCTCTATGCATTCGTTGGGATAATGCAGACTGAAAACAATGGATTTTAATAAGATCAGTAATTATCTACTTACTAGTATTTCCATGACTTCCTATTACTGTGTATGCATATACCATTTTCAATTTAGAATGCCAATCAGATGGACGACGCCTCAAATGTACGAGTGCATGAGTCAGCCAAGGCAAGAATTGCCGATAAAGAAATTTATGAAACAATCTGTGAAAACAGAGATGAAGACGCCAGCACTCACCTCACGTCCACTCACCAAGGTGTAGCTTCTTTATCTGCAAAAGAGATGAATACACGTGATTCTTCAGCCGGTGCACTGCAGGGCCAAAACACCGTACCTTCATTGCCACAGCATTACGAAGAACTTACAAATCTACCAAAGGGCCAATTATACGAGCCTCTTAATAAACGCCACATTAAGCATAGCACTGATGCGGCTGATAATCCAAGAACATACGAACAACTGCAGCAGGATGTGACAGGAAAAGAGTACCAGTCGTTGCAAATCATCTCAAAAAAAGAAGAAAGCAAAGTGTGATTTTTTGTGTGTTTGTGTTTGGTCGCGAGTCAAAAGTATTAAAGAGAGTTGGTTAACTCTTCAATATTGGCAATTCGGGTGTTTTCTTATAAAGCTATGCATCATTTTTCTTTGACGAAAAAATGGGAAGATTGAAGGCCCAAACACTAGACTATCGATCTTTCACCCAATTAGGTTGGTAGTAAAGGATCGAGCAATGATGTATAAATCAGCAACTTAGCTTTATTCCACTAAAAAACAACAACAAATAATGCTTGAATTCCTTTACCTTACTGGTGCTTTGGCTAAATAATTCCCAAGTCACACGATCGATTTACAATTACACTCATTAGCACTGTTGTTAGCATTTCAATTCATCATTTGAGAATTACTAAGCAGTTCTTCGTTTCTCGTGGCCTAATTACGTTGGTATGCAACTCTTCCCCCCTCACACTTCTCCGATGTTTTTCCTCGTTATATTTCAATAACACCCAAATTTTCTATGCTTTAACAACAACCACCATTCGTCTAGACTACTGAGGTKAATTCACGGTTTTGAAACCTAATTTTACCGTGGTTTTGTGGGATATATGATTCTTTTTTT